CTTGACCAAAGAGTTCAATCAAAAATGCATAAAGAATTAGATCGTTTGGAGGAGGAAAAGGGCCGTAATGGATTTGATAATTCTGTTACACAAGCTGATAGAGGAAAATTACCTTTTTTAAATGCTGTTATTAATGTAGGGGAAATAAATTTTAATCAAAATAAAATAATTTTTAGGAAACACAACGTGTTTGTAATTTACTTCCATTAAATCTTACACACCGAACAATGACAGATGCTCAAATTTTAGAAGGGAAATATCACCTTAGAAAGGGCATATCCATTATTCCACAAATTTGCTGTGTGCTATTTAATGAAAAAGTAAATTTTTAATAAAAAAATTGTATGAGAAGAATCTACTTTTTTTAAATCGAGGTAGTGGTACTCAAACCTATAGTCGGCTTAGGTTTAAATTGCTGATGTTGGTTACTCAAAACCTAAAAAATTAGAAAAATTTGTTATCATTCATATAATTTATTTCTTTTTACTGCAAATTTCTTTCGTCATTTTCAAGTTTTACCGGTTGATCCTCTACATCCACCTTCTAGTGAAAAAATTAAAGGATTTACGGTAAGGCTTCATCATTACAATTGTCGAATAATTTTGCGAACAAAAAAGGAATTTTGAGAAAGAAAATACTTTTATCTAAAATATTTAAATATATTTACAAAGCGGATATATCAATAATCATTAAAAAAATAAAATATGTTTATATATTTATTCAACATTCTCACAATTTTGGAAAAAAAATTTATAAATGACTTTATAATAATTTTTACTTAAAATATTCAAGCAATCAAAAAAGATAAAACTTCAAACTTTAATTTAATCATAAAATTGCAAGACTTTTTGTTTTCTGTTGTTTTTTGTCTTTTCCACTGGAATTATTAACTCTAATTTCTTTACTTGAAGATTTATTACTACTATTTTTCTTTTCATAATTATCATTTATTTTCATAATTTTTAAATTATGGTTTCTAACAAGCTCTAAAACATCAACTTTTCTTTTTCCATTAGAAGTTGGGGAAGAAACTTTTTTTGCCTCATTTTCAGAATCTCTGCAATTATTTTATAAGGTGTTGTTTTTAAAAATATTTTGGTTTTTTTGTTATTTATCTCAGATGAAGTTTTGGAAATTATTTTTCATAAAAATATTATGTGAAAATCTTGATTATTTATTTGTTAACATATTTACTCAATAACTGCTCTTAATTTTTCGCTGTCTGAGGATAAATAGAGAGATGAGCTTTGATCCTTAACCCAATGCGAATTACGTAAATTACGTCGTTTTTTGACTTGCGTTTTATCCCCCTGCTCCGAACTTCTTTATTGCAATCAGAATAATAAAGATTTATTATGGGATCAGCAACAATTACAAGCTTTTTTTCACGGCATAAATATTTTTGCGGTAAAATTCCGTCATATCACCCGGAACCGAACGACACCAAAATTAGCTTCGGGACTCACCTTTGGGCCGAGATATAGGTCCCCGAAAATCGAAAAACCATAGGGGGGAGTAAGCTCAATTTTGGGTGAAAAATTCGAATATGCAAATTATAACTCATTCGAAAGAGCTCGTCGAGCTGAGTCGAAAGACATCAAAATCATTGAAATTTGATTTGATTAGACAAAGTTATGATCGTTTCTTTTAGCTCCTTACCTATGGTCTCCGTTGAGATTTTTGCTGCTGCGGAGGAAGCCAGGCATGCCCACCTCATCGATGATGGGAATTTCTGTTGTCTTCCTCTACGTAAGCGGGGTCACAACACGAAGAACACACCTCACCCTCTTGTTTAGACTAATCATTATTCTTTTCTCTATCTAGGTTTACAACTTATCGAAGATTCCAGGAAATATTAACGACTATATATATATAGCCGTTAATTTTTAAAAAGTGTATCAGCGGTGGTGAGGGAGTGGAGAATGTAGGTCTGACATACATCAAACTTGATCAGCTGCTGTTGAAGTGCCTTATTGTGATTAGTTTTATTCATATCCCTAAGTGCCTGCCTGGAGGAAAAGCCCTAACGGGTTTGTGGAGGAGTGTGGGCAAAATAATAAATACACACTGTGGAGGGGGAGGTCAAAAGAATTAATGGTCTGATGATTGAAAAATCAAATGATGACCATATATTGCTCAAAGTTGATCTCGTTTATCAAGTGTGATCGGTTCCGACATCCGATGAAGCTGCTACCGCTGCATTTTTTTAAAGAAAAAGATAGTACGATGGCAACAAGCAGAATACCTGATATGAATAAAACTAATCACAATTTAACTATCCAGGCTACTTACAATGTATAAAAGGCATTAAACCCTTTAACATTAAACCATCAGCCTCCACCCGTGCCTCGTCACTTACAGTAGAATGCTCCTCTTTAAATAAAGATGAAGATATTCTTTAGAACTTATTGTCGTGAAATAGGCAAATAGAGAGAGGATATTTAAAACAAACACTATTTTCTAATATTTTAAAGTCTAGCTAACAATATTCTTTTTCATTCCTTCCCTTAATTCTAATTATTCACTCCTGCTTCTTTCTACTATAACAATGCTTTCTAAGTTTTTCTAGCATTCAGTATAATAATTTTAAAGAAAATATTTGTAAAATACTTTATTCTTTCTAATTTTAAAAAATAAATAGGTCTGGCATTACAATTGTCGAATAATTTTGCGAACAAAAAAGGATTTTTGAAAAGAAAATATACTACTAATGTATCAATAACTAAATTATCTAACCTCTTAGATTCCTCTTAATGTCATGTTCTTCTTATTTAAAAAGAAAAATAAACATGCTACATATACGGCTCAAATTCTTTTATTGATATTTATCGGGTATCGGTCCTAATATCAGCATTTCGGATTACATTAGAAATCGGAAATATTAACATAATGGGTTTATTCAGTAGAGAATTTTAACTTAATAGGAATTACTGACAATAGTTACTATTAGAGTTCAGACCCGGGCCTCGACCGGGTTTTCCTTGCCCGGTATCCCGGTAACCAGGTATTTTGATGAGATCCGGGTTTAGGGGTTTTGGGAGTTTTTAGCCCGGCCCGGGTCGAATCTGAAAACACGAGTCGCATCCAACATTTTTAGGGATTTCATCAGGAAGATCATTTATAAATATAAGAAATAAGTGGTCCTAGGACACTTCCTTGAAGTATACTTGAGAATGTTTCATAATTTTGAGATAATTGTCACCAATCTTAATTTCGAAATTTTTATCTGATAGTAGTTTTGAAGAAATGCATAATTTCCACCTATGCCTGCATTTTCTATCTTATATAAAAGAATATTTTGGTAGTGTCAGATGCTTTGCAAAGTCGATGTAAATAATATATACATATGTATATTATATCCATCCTGTATTGCATTATATAAATCATCCAACTTATGAGATAATAACTGTGTGGTTATGGATCTTTGTTTAAGAATCCAAATTGATTTTTAATAAATAACTTATTATCTTCTAAGAATTTTGTTAATTGTTGTGCGATAATTCTTTCGAGAATCCTACATAAGGTGCAGGGATCGCACCGACAGAAATCGAATTCACGATTTTCGGGAATCGTGAATCGGGTCGGCGCGATCCCTGATAAGGTGCATGTTAACGATATTGGACGTTAATTTTTTGGATTCGAATTTTCTCCGTTTTTATACAGTGGTACAATAAGTCAAGATTGATGATGGAATTTTTTCCAGATTGATGGAATTTGCCTAGTATCAATAATACATCTAAAGATATCTTTAACTATTTTTGCAAGTGAGTCAGCGAAATTATTTAGCATTATATAAGGAATGTTATCTGGAAAAGTTTACTTACGTCTAGGAAGTGATCTGAGGATATCCCATAAAAAGCTAGTAAGTAAATCTATGTCTGAAAATGTCATATTTGAGATTATATTTCTGTTATCATTTGATAGATTAATATTTTTATTTTGGAAGTAGTATTCCACACAAACATAGCACAAACCTAAATATATAAAAAATAATTAAGTGATGTTCCCTTGTAAGTTTATAAGAAAAAATTTTAGTCAAATTAATGTGCTGCTACGATGGAATCCTTCTTGCTGTCTGGCCAATGTAAATTTGTAGAAAATTGCAAAAAGTAGACAATTATACTTAATTATAAAATTTATAATTGTTTTTATTAATATATACCTAATTTAAATAAAATACTTTTATATATTTCGATTTGTTTAATTTTTTAAAGTTTTTTATTTCAAAAATTTTTGTCTTTTTTTTTAATTTTAAATTAATTAATTTATTCGCCTAGTTGATTTAATTTTCAATAATTTTATTTAATTCTTTTTAATTTTTCGTTTGTTTACAGCCAACGAGACAAAAAAATTTTTTTAATTTAATTTCACAAAATATTTAATACAAACTACAATTTAACAAATTTATTTTTTTATCATTTCTTAAATAAATTATAAATAAAAAAAGTAAGATATTCGCTCCCATTAAATAATTACTATATAAATTATAGATAAATAGAATATTTTTTTAATCAAAAAAATGTTTTTACTTTTATTTTTCCTTTTCTTTACAACTCTTTTATTTTGGAATTTTGTTTGGAAGCGAAAAGGATTACCGCCTGGACCGGTTCCATTGCCTATTTTTGGAAATGCATTTTCGATGAATAAGTGTGTTAAAATATTTTTTCGAAATTAAATATATGTAGAAGATTGCTAAATTCATAACCAGTATAGAGCCCAGAATAACTAAAATATGAAAGGAATATTAATAGATTAATTCACTTGACAGATTAATAGACTGCTCCATTTCATCGCTTATTCTCTGTATTGTTGTGGATATATTTGTTATGGATAGATAGGGTTGCTGGGACATTATTTCCCAATACATTTCCGCCTTAAAATAATGTCATTGAAAATTAAAGCAAAATATGCAAAAACGTCCAAGACTCTTAGTCTATACTCTTGAATTAAGACTTGTTTAGCTTTTTCCTTGTCCTAGAGTTTAAAGTATTAGTGAACAAGTCTTCACAAAGGCAGGACGAGGCCCCAGATTAAGACTAAAGCAAAACCCGCACCCCAAAATAAACTTTTGGCACGTAGGAATTCCCACCTAAAATATCGGGAATTTCCTGATTGCTGGCTGGAACCAGTTTCAAGCCATACTCATAATGGGTTTAGTAAAAGAATTATTTCTAATTTTTATATTAAAATTAAGCTCAATTTATGAACAATTCCAAATTTGGGCAAAAGATTATGGCCCAGTTTATACAATTTGGATAGGAGAAGATCCAACTGTTATTGTTACTGATTATGAAATTATGCGTGACCTTTTTATCAAAGAAGGCGATATTTATGCTGGTCGAAATCTTATGGGCAATCTTTTTAAAAAGTTTTCAGGTATATTCATTATCCTATGAAAAGAGAGAGAACGTATTTTAATGGAAAATTGTTAGGAATTTTCTTGTGTCAGTAAATTAAAACCATTTCTGGATATCCGGGGTTTTTTTCGGTTCCGGATAACTGAAACCGCCAACCTCACCCATCATGGATGGGTTTTACATTTTAAAAAGTGTAAAAGGAGATTAATAGAATTTTTCTAATATAAAATTTTTCAGCAGTAAAAGACGATTATGGGGGTGTTATACGCACTGAAGGAGATCCCTGGAAGGTTGTGCGTCGATTCGGTCTACAGTCAATGCGTAATTTGGGTGTTGGAAGGGCTGGACTTGAAAAACATTTACTTGAAGATATGGAAAGATTTATTGAACAAATTAAAGAGGAAATATCTGAAAATGGTGGATATAATGTTAATCTTCAATGTAAAATAGATCGTTTGTCTGGGACTACAGTAAATCGAGTTATCTTTGGATATCCATTCGAAGATGTAATTTTTAGCCGTTTTTGCTTCAAACTAGGTATAAAAATAATTACTTATTACGAAAAGTTTTGGAAAAAATCTGCAAAAATATATAATATAATATCATTCTAAACTTAATTTGTTAAGTATGTATATGTGGTCTTAGGAATATTTTCATTATAATTTAAAGGAACATATGTCTGAATTCTACGAATTAAAGCAACCTTTGGAAGAACAAACGTGTTTACTTTCATCATTAACAGGCCTTATGTTAATAACTATGCCTTGGCTTCGATATTTCCCCATATTTTCACAAACATTTAGAAAATTAGACAATAATTTGACAACTTGTTATAAATTCATTAAAAGACCAATAAATAAAAGAATTTCTGAACGGGAGAAACAAGCACCTGAAGAGAGAGGAGAACCCAATGATTTAGTTGATTATTTTCTTGATCAGATAGAGACGGGAAAGGATGAATATTTTAGGTAATTTTTTTAATTTAATGGCAATTTCTATAAATATTTTTAAGCTTGAAGACTATAACACCCTTTTGTTTCGATTTATTTTGGCTGGTCAAGACACAACTTCGACTACATTAAATTTCTTAATTTTATATTTAATTCTTGACCAAAGAGTTCAATCAAAAATGCATAAAGAATTAGATCGTTTGGAGGAGGAAAAGGGCCGTAATGGATTTGATAATTCTGTTACACAAGCTGATAGAGGAAAATTACCTTTTTTAAATGCTGTTATTAATGTAGGGGAAATAAATTTTAATCAAAATAAAATAATTTTTAGGAAACACAACGTGTTTGTAATTTACTTCCATTAAATCTTACACACCGAACAATGACAGATGCTCAAATTTTAGAAGGGAAATATCACCTTAGAAAGGGCATATCCATTATTCCACAAATTTGCTGTGTGCTATTTAATGAAAAAGTAAATTTTTAATAAAAAAATTGTATGAGAAGAATCTACTTTTTTTAAATCGAGGTAGTGGTACTCAAACCTATAGTCGGCTTAGGTTTAAATTGCTGATGTTGGTTACTCAAAACCTAAAAAATTAGAAAAATTTGTTATCATTCATATAATTTATTTCTTTTTACTGCAAATTTCTTTCGTCATTTTCAAGTTTTACCGGTTGATCCTCTACATCCACCTTCTAGTGAAAAAATTAAAGGATTTACGGTAAGGCTTCATCATTACAATTGTCGAATAATTTTGCGAACAAAAAAGGAATTTTGAGAAAGAAAATACTTTTATCTAAAATATTTAAATATATTTACAAAGCGGATATATCAATAATCATTAAAAAAATAAAATATGTTTATATATTTATTCAACATTCTCACAATTTTGGAAAAAAAATTTATAAATGACTTTATAATAATTTTTACTTAAAATATTCAAGCAATCAAAAAAGATAAAACTTCAAACTTTAATTTAATCATAAAATTGCAAGACTTTTTGTTTTCTGTTGTTTTTTGTCTTTTCCACTGGAATTATTAACTCTAATTTCTTTACTTGAAGATTTATTACTACTATTTTTCTTTTCATAATTATCATTTATTTTCATAATTTTTAAATTATGGTTTCTAACAAGCTCTAAAACATCAACTTTTCTTTTTCCATTAGAAGTTGGGGAAGAAACTTTTTTTGCCTCATTTTCAGAATCTCTGCAATTATTTTATAAGGTGTTGTTTTTAAAAATATTTTGGTTTTTTTGTTATTTATCTCAGATGAAGTTTTGGAAATTATTTTTCATAAAAATATTATGTGAAAATCTTGATTATTTATTTGTTAACATATTTACTCAATAACTGCTCTTAATTTTTCGCTGTCTGAGGATAAATAGAGAGATGAGCTTTGATCCTTAACCCAATGCGAATTACGTAAATTACGTCGTTTTTTGACTTGCGTTTTATCCCCCTGCTCCGAACTTCTTTATTGCAATCAGAATAATAAAGATTTATTATGGGATCAGCAACAATTACAAGCTTTTTTTCACGGCATAAATATTTTTGCGGTAAAATTCCGTCATATCACCCGGAACCGAACGACACCAAAATTAGCTTCGGGACTCACCTTTGGGCCGAGATATAGGTCCCCGAAAATCGAAAAACCATAGGGGGGAGTAAGCTCAATTTTGGGTGAAAAATTCGAATATGCAAATTATAACTCATTCGAAAGAGCTCGTCGAGCTGAGTCGAAAGACATCAAAATCATTGAAATTTGATTTGATTAGACAAAGTTATGATCGTTTCTTTTAGCTCCTTACCTATGGTCTCCGTTGAGATTTTTGCTGCTGCGGAGGAAGCCAGGCATGCCCACCTCATCGATGATGGGAATTTCTGTTGTCTTCCTCTACGTAAGCGGGGTCACAACACGAAGAACACACCTCACCCTCTTGTTTAGACTAATCATTATTCTTTTCTCTATCTAGGTTTACAACTTATCGAAGATTCCAGGAAATATTAACGACTATATATATATAGCCGTTAATTTTTAAAAAGTGTATCAGCGGTGGTGAGGGAGTGGAGAATGTAGGTCTGACATACATCAAACTTGATCAGCTGCTGTTGAAGTGCCTTATTGTGATTAGTTTTATTCATATCCCTAAGTGCCTGCCTGGAGGAAAAGCCCTAACGGGTTTGTGGAGGAGTGTGGGCAAAATAATAAATACACACTGTGGAGGGGGAGGTCAAAAGAATTAATGGTCTGATGATTGAAAAATCAAATGATGACCATATATTGCTCAAAGTTGATCTCGTTTATCAAGTGTGATCGGTTCCGACATCCGATGAAGCTGCTACCGCTGCATTTTTTTAAAGAAAAAGATAGTACGATGGCAACAAGCAGAATACCTGATATGAATAAAACTAATCACAATTTAACTATCCAGGCTACTTACAATGTATAAAAGGCATTAAACCCTTTAACATTAAACCATCAGCCTCCACCCGTGCCTCGTCACTTACAGTAGAATGCTCCTCTTTAAATAAAGATGAAGATATTCTTTAGAACTTATTGTCGTGAAATAGGCAAATAGAGAGAGGATATTTAAAACAAACACTATTTTCTAATATTTTAAAGTCTAGCTAACAATATTCTTTTTCATTCCTTCCCTTAATTCTAATTATTCACTCCTGCTTCTTTCTACTATAACAATGCTTTCTAAGTTTTTCTAGCATTCAGTATAATAATTTTAAAGAAAATATTTGTAAAATACTTTATTCTTTCTAATTTTAAAAAATAAATAGGTCTGGCGGATCATAACGAAAATGTTGAATAGTTGAAATTTTTGGTTCATATCACGGATAGGGTTGGTCGAATCGCAAAAAATATAAATCCTAAGTAAAAATCGAACAAGCTCAGGATATCTGATATTTCCATGATCCGCCCACCTTGAATTGACATTTTTACACTTTTACAAATTGAATTTAGATGGCCTTTTGGCAGCCTAAAAAATATTACAAAATATTAGTGTTGGGCCGGAAGTTCCGGTTCTGAAAACCGGAACTTCCGGTGTTTTTTGGTTCCGGTTCCGGTTTGCTTTTAAAGTATTGGGGTTAGAAAATCCTTAAAAATATCAATTTCAATATTTTATTTATTTTTACCTCTGTCTCTAAACAACGTTTCAATTCAAAAGTTTTAAGTAATCTAACAAGTCTCATTTTTGTCTCCATTATTGCAAAACGTAATCCAATACAAATTCTAGGTCCGCCGCCAAACGGATAATAAAATGCTAGTTCCCCTCCATTTAACCATCTAAATAAATAAATTGATGTTTTGAAGGAAAAAATTCTTTGGTATAGGAACGTCTTCTAAAAACAACATCTACCTTTCAGGCTTAAATTCTTCAGCATCTTCTCCCAGGGTTGTCGTTTTACCCTATTTATAGGGGATTTTCCCTATTTTTGATCTTTTCGCCCTATTTTTTCCCTATTTTATACATTTGCCATAATTTGCCCTATTTTTAACATTTTGTAATATTTTCCAAATTTTCTGGGATTTTGTAAATAAAATGCGAAAAAACAAAGAAATTTAACTCCTGGACATAAAAATTCCAAAAATTTTCGCCTGCGGCGCTGAAAAAAGAGAAATCACTCCTATTGTTCTTCTTAATTTGTCAAAATTTTCGCCTTCGGCGCTAGAAAAGGGAAAAATATGGCTTCATAACTTTTCAAAATTCTCAAAATTTTGCTAGAAATGGAAGAAATCTATCAGTTCCAAAGATCTTGAAGAAAAACTTGATTATCGAGATCGAGATTTTTCGAGACATCTCGTACGATAAAAATTTCTTCATTTTTTCGAGATTCAAGATATCTCTTAAAATTCTCATACGACATTCCCAGTCTGGTCTCTAATCTGTACTTTTCTTTTTTTTAGAAATTTAGTTAAAACTAGTGGAGAACATGCGGAATAAGGCTTTTTATTTAAAATTTTAATTATTTTTATGTTTTTTAAAATAATTCCCTATTTTTTGCCATATTTTTGACCGATTTCGCCCTATTTTTTCCCTATTTTTGAGTGGCTGCGCCCCATTTTACTGGTTTGGAAACGACAACCCTGTCTTCTCCCCAAAGTTTTGGATCTCTATGAAGAGTTAACGAGTCAATAGATATATTTGTGCCTTTCTCTAAAATTATATTACCAAGAGTTGTTGTTTCTTCACATATACGATTTACCCCACTTAAAGTGAGTGTATAAATTTATTAAATTTGAAGAAGAAAATTACGAAGCAATAGGGCAAAGTCTCTGAGTCAACAAACACTTCTTTAACCATTACTGGATCACTAATAACTAATTCATTAAACCATCCATTTCTAATTCCATAAACACTTCCATATTCTTTACTCCATTTTTGTTTTTGTATTACTGCTATATTTTTACCAAAAATTTGGTCAATATTTCCTTTTAAAGGTAAAGGTTTTGGGCCAGGAGTAGTTAACCGTACGCCACGGCTGCGCTTGGATTCGTCCCACCTTGGATTCGTCCCCTTTGGATTCGTCCCCTTGAACTAAAACTTTGGACAGTTCAGTTTGGAAGTACGGGAGTCGATTTGTAAATACTGTCTCTTTTATCAAACAGGTCATCCCGTCTAGAAAAGAAGAGAGTGAAAACATAAACAAAGCCACTCTCTTCTTTTCTAGGCGGGATGACCTAGAACTTTATTTTTCCTTTTATATATTAAGGGGAGGGAAGCCAGAATAGGTCAAATTGTGAGTATAAAGTGTTTTTTCTTTATGCAAATTGACACTTTATACTCACAATTTGACCTATTCTGGCTTCCCTATCCCTTATATTTTTTCATTTATATTTTTACTTAAATAAAATTTTTAATAAATAATTTTTACAGGTTCAATTAATATATTATTTTGAGCTCTTCTTTTAAAAAGAGCTTTCAGCAAATACCAATTATTTGTTTCAATATTTATTGGAAAAATTTTTTGGTCTACTGGTTTTTGTTGGTTAGCTTTTTTATTTTTATTTTAATAAAAATCTTTAATAATAGAATTGTCTGCTCCCTCAAAAAAAACAATTAGTTTCAAATTATTGGAAAAAAAATTTTTTTGGTCTGGCTGGTGTTATTGGTTATTTTTGTTTTTTAATAAAAAATTTTAATAGAATTGGAGGCTGTACTTTAGCGTACCACCTGCAGAAAAAACGTGTCTCAGCACTCTCATTATTTATCTTTGCTATCATAAAGTAATTATTATATGGTTTTGTGACACGGAAATTAAAAATAATGTACGTATTTATTTTCGTAGCTTTCCTAAGGCTCAACAGGAATCAGTCAAAAAATTTAAGAAAAATTAAATTGTTTTGCAATTATTGTAATTAAATGATTGAAAGTATCTTTTTCGTGTCTTTTCGCATCACGTCGCCATAAAAATTCACATAAATGATCGGCTAGTTTTTCTTTATGAACACCTCCACGTGCAAGCCTT